AACTTGAATCTACACTACCTTAGAATGTATATATACATAGTGTGTTACAAAACAAAATTAAAGCTGGAGACCAACACCTTGAGGTTGAAATTACTGAAGATTCTAACGAGTGGATACCACGCGGTATTCAATAAGGTCTGGATCAAAAGTAGTAAACTTAAGTTTACATATGTGTGTTGATCACTCGTGTTTAATTACCTCAACATCAAGAATAAATTTGAATCTGTTGCACTAAATTAAGCTCAAATCTTATGGAGATCTAATCTTGAAATGTTTGCCAAGTTATTTATTCTGCAACAGGGATATTAAATCAGCAGTAAACATGAACAAGAGGTCCATGGGCCACAATGCTCATCTGAGTAACTTTGGCTCTGCTGTTCTGTGTAAAAAAATTTCCCAAGCATACATTTATTCCTCAGGAAGCTTCCATATAAGTTTCAGCTTTACTGGTCCAATGGTTCTTGAGAAGAAGATTTTTAAACATTTTTCCTTTATATTCTAATGTAAAACTTTGATTCCCTTTTGTGGCCCCACCCTATCCCCGGGGGCCATGATTTGATTACTTTAATAACTACACTACCTCAGGAAGTTTTCGCATAAGTTTCAGCTTTCCTTGTCTAGTGGTTTTTAAGAAGAAGATTTTAAAACATTTTTCCTATATATTTCAATGTAAAACTTTGATTCTTTATATGGCCCCACCCTACCCCAGGGGCCATGATTTGAACAATATAGAATCTACACTATCTCAGGAAGTTTCCACATAAGTTTCTGCTTTTCTGGCACAGTGGTTTTTGAGAGGATGATTTTTAAAGAATTTTCCTGTATATATATTTCAATGAAAAAGTTTGATTCACTGTTGTGGCTCCATCTAACCTTCGGGGGCCATGATTTGAACAATTTAGAATATACACTACATCAGGAAGTTTCCACATATATTTCAGCTTTTCTGGTCCAGTGGCTCTTGAGAACAAGATTTTTTGAGGACCCCAACCCATTTTTGCCTTTTCTTGATTATCTCCCCTTGGAAGAGGGATTGGCCCTTCATTTTAAAAAATTAGAATTGCCTCCACCCAGGGATGCTTTGTACCAATTCTGGTTAACACTGGCCCATTGGTTCTCAAGAAGAAGTTGAAAATGTGAAGTTTATAGATGGACAGATAGACAGACGGACGGCCACCGGACACCAGGTGATCAGAGAAGCTCAATTAGCTTTCAGCTCAGGTGAGCTAAAAATATGATACATGAATTACTCTAACTCATAACAGACAGCAACTCAAGTAAATTAATAGTTACCTTAATTAACATCCAGAATAAATTTTAATCCCTTGCAGAAAATAAACTTCAAATCTATTGCGCCCCATTTCTGGTGTTTGCTTAAGTGAAGCCTATAAAAAATTATTTTTACTTCCTGTAACCCAACCTATCCATTCAAATTATAGCTGGGTGGAATTTTTTTTGTTTTTTGGTTCAAATCTGTTTGATTAACCAGAAAAAGCAATTTTAATAAAAAACGTTTTAAAAAAATAATTGTATAGCTTTACTTGACATATGAAATATGTCAACTAATTCAACATTCACCTTTTATGAAGACTATAAAAATGGACACCAGGTGATCAGAGAAGCTCTGCATTTTTATAATGAGTGATTATTAATAATATAGGGTTTATTCACAGAAGTCGGCAGTTTTATAATTATCCCTAAAACAATGTAAACACTAACCAGTGAGCTTCGCAAGCCCAGTGCTCGCTACTCTCGCGAAGCTCACTGGTTAGTGTTCACATTGTTTTAGGGATAAAACTGCCGACTCCTGTGATTTAATTAACTTATATTTAGTGAACATTGGCACGAGTTCTGTTGGCTGTACAAATGCACAACATACATAGTGATTCCTATGCGTCTGTCATGCTACATGGGTGATAAATACATGTATTGTTATTCTCTTGAAAGAAGTGAACGGGCAAAGTCTTTATCCATATGGATGTAGGCTATGACCAGGTCCAGTACAATCAATACATTTAGCTACATAGCTAAAATTACCTACGGTAGCTTTATTTACCTACCTCAGGTAGCTTTATTTAGCTATTTCAAGGCAACTTTTCACAATTTTGCTTTTTATCTTAAAAAGAAAAAAAAGTCGCAAGTAAATCACTGTCTACTAATATTTATTCTAGGTACTATTTAAAAAGCAATCTAAAGCAGAGATAGTTTTAGCATTGCTGCGTTTGAACACTTTTAAGGAAAATATGTATTTCCATTGTTTGAGTAACTGAACATCACCATGTGTGCGATGAGGCGTGGATAAGTATGACTACTTCAACATGTTCACATTGTGCTCATGTTAACCAAAACTGGTTTTCTTTGTTATTTCACTCAAGAAGTAACTGTTAGGTCACAAATTAACTGTTGTATATAGCCCCAAAACTTTTAGAACTTTGATTGCAATTGCGCAGAAAAAGACATCTCCAGGAGTGATTTTTTCATGAATTGTTTTCAGATGAGTTATCACTGCATCAAAGTGCAATTTTCTGCACTTTCTGAGAAAAATGCTAATTTAAGAAATAAGTTTGATTTAGTAGCTAAATAAAGCTACTTCAAGTAGGTAAATAAAGTTATGTAAGTAATTCAAGCCACGTAGCTAAATCTAGTGATTGTACCAGACCTGATGACTGCATGTCCACTTCGAATGTCAGACACCTCGGCCCAACGACACCTCGGCCCATTGACATTTCGGCCCAATGACATCTCGGCTCAGATGGGTCGGCCCAAGATTTAAGACAGGTCGGCCCATGCATAAGACACCTCGGCCCAAGCAAAATTAAACTATGAAATACATGTATATATTTCCAATTTTGGGACTTGAATTAAAATGTTGATTGAAAAAAGTACATGAATAAACTATCAAGATTTATAAAAAAAAAAAATAAGATCTTCCACGTGCACATTGACGATATTCAAGGAATGAGAAGACAATTTAATGCTATTAAGTAAGTGCTAATTGATAAACAAACAAAATACCGCAGCGCATCCTTTGGGGGGTCAAGTGCTTGTTATATTGGTGACAACAGGGGGTTACGGTAATTACGAGCAGACCTAATTGGGAGACAGTAATTGAATAATTTCCTAAGAAAAACATTTCCCTTCATAAATATATTATCTTCGCTTATAACTCGTTCGAGTCCATTTTTTCCCAGGCTACTTGTATCAAAGCATTTTTTTTACTTGCTAATACAAGATTAACGCACGCAACCGTGATACTGCAGGAAAAATTTACATTTTCCACAAGAAATAGATGTAAATGAAAGCCTGATCTAATTAAGTTGGAAAAATAAAACGATTATATCTATCAAAGACCCCCATTTTTTATTTTTAAAAAATCATTTAATTGTCAGAAAGAATAATAACACCAATGATAATATCATTTCAAATGCTGTGTTAATCTGTTAATTTTTTTTCCATCGTAAAATTTTGCTTGGGCCGAGGTGTCTTTTATATGGGCCGACGTGTCAACAATCTTGGGCCGACCTGTCAGGGCCGAGATGTCAAGCGTGACGGGCCGAGGTGTCGTTGGGCCGAGATCTCTGTCTACCTCCACTTCTCTCACGAAAACATTGCCACCATCTGAATAACTAGTGCATTTGGAACATATTTCAATGAATGAAACTCACCTTTTTAATTTTATTCGCCTCTATTTGCTTTGTCTTTTTTGGAGCAATAACTCGAGCTGTCAAAAAAAGTTAAAACATAAACATGGCACATGGCAAAACAAAACAAAAAAAGGGTCGGGTTAGGAATGCTCAAGATAGGCAACACCATTATTAAATTATTTTATATTGAGGGTTTATCAAGTTTTACTAAATGATGTTTGCCCAATTCTTAAAGCTTAACCTCCTCTTTTCGGTCCTGAGCTTTTCTGTCTATGACTTTGTCTCCCTTTAACTCCTTTCGGAAGACTTCCTTTCGACTTAAACTTTCCCTGCGCCATATTCATCGGGTGATTCTAAATATTGAAGGGGTGCAATTCATTAATAAATCTTTCCAATCCTTTTTGATACCACTTTGAATAAAAAATTTGGAGATTATTTTTAAAAGTATACATATCTGAATTTATTTCATATAAACTTAACTCAACAGTCTTTGTTTATAATTAAATAGATATTTTATGGATCCTAAACCCCCCTTCATGAAAAATGAATCGATCCAAAATTAGTGAATAAAAAAATTGGAATCAAGTACAGCTGACTTATGACAGATGCTGATGTAAGTATTTTCCAGATTCATCTTTTTCTGACAAGCTTTATATGTTTATTCTCCTTGCATTCGTTTTAATTTATTTTAAGGTAAATGAAGTTTTTAAATATTTTCCCTCCCGTTATCCCAGTTATCCAGGAATGTAAAATCCAAGGACTCGACACTCCCCTTAAAATGTTGGTAAATAAACATGATAAAATGAAGAATGATTCCATTCCAAATTTATATTTTTACTGTTTCAAATTTAGATCTATGGGGTAAGCATGAGAACCATTTTATTATATGCAGGCAAACATTCAATAAAGCTGCGAATTTATGATGTTGCAGTTATTTTTATCAATATTGACGTTTTTATCATTTATCAATTTTATGGTTCTTGCATTCGAGAACAATACCATGCTATTTCATAATTTATTTGTCAGCTTGAATAGATGATCAGGAGAGTACCACTCAAAACAACTGTCATAATTTCAATGTAAACTATCCTAATGACTCTGAAGTTGAACCCCCTAGCAAATGAGGACCATATAATGATAATTTAAAAAAATAATCAGATAAGGAGAATTAATAAAAATAATAATAATTTTTTTTATGCCTGCTGTATGAAGATTTTTTTTTATTAGACTTGGCACTTGAATTCAATGAATAATTAAAGTCATGGGTATGTGCTGTTAAGTTGGATCAAAATCTTGATTGATATTTTATAATCCTTGCCTTAGTGATTCATCTTTTCAAATTTCTTTCAGGCTGGCAAAATGTTTCTATAACTGCTAGCATAACACAAAGTAAGAAATGGCTGAGACGAAAGAAACACTGCTTGTTAACGGATCAGCAGAGCAGAAGTCTCCAGTCAGACGCATGCATTCAGCAACAGCTTTCACTGTGAGCGTGTCTAAGTCTGACGCTCCACATTTTGATCCTTACAAAACATTGGAAAGATCCCAGTCTGAAGCTGCTCTTCTGAAAAATCCACACAGTGCTGTTAAAACTGAAGATGGAGTTGCAGAAACATTTTCAGAGCAAGAAATGGGAACTGATGGAATGGACTTTGGGGCCCATAATGTATCTGAATGTTCAAAAGTGTACCTAGATTTGTCCACTGCTGAGGCATATGAAAATATTAATGAGCAAATTCCCTATCCAACTTCTTTGTTTCGAACTGGATCAGGTAGATTATTGGAAACAATCCCACAGGATGAAGAATTGCAAACAGATGATGTTCGATTTAGCCTCATGGGAGAAAGATCCATTTCCACTGAAAGTAATTCCAGTGCGAGTAGCCTTGATGAAAGGGCATCCAAGACCCACATGAAATCCCTAACTATAAAAGAGGAGTCTTCGAGGTACACAGTCTCCAGTTCATACTCTAAGGTTGGCAAGAGGTCTCCAGACTACACAACTAAAGCAAAAACCAACATGAAATCCACCTTCCAGACTTTCTCCTTAAACATTAAGCAGAAAATTAAACAACTTCAGATGGGATCCGTTCAAGAGCAGATCCAAGCCATGAGGGAGATCAGTGTTATCATAGATCAAGCATGGGCCATACCAAGTTTTGGCAGAGACTTAGCATATGGATTGTGTGATATTTTGAGGAATGAAAAAGCACTTGATATTATTGTTAAGAACTGTGCATCACCCTCTAATGATCTGATGAAGGCTTCAGCAAAGTTGCTTGATAAAATCCTGACCACTGGAAACAGGAAGAGGGTATCGGAAATAGGCCTGGACATTGTGGTCAAAATGGCTGTTTCCTCTAAAGGGGAAACAGAAATGGCCCGAGTTGTCACTGGTATATTAGAGAGTCTCTTTAAGATATCAGAAGATGTATGTGCAAAGCTGATATCCTTGGGAGGATTAGATGTTATTGTGTTTTGGTGTAGAAGTAATGACCGTTCCACCCTCAGGCATTGCTCCATGGCCGTAGCCAACATGGCCTTGTATGGAGGAAGGGAGAACCAGGAAGAAATGACCAAACACAAAGTTCCAGAGTGGTTGTTCCCCTTGGCTTTCAATGATGATGATGGCGTCCGATATTACGCATGTCTGGCTATAGCCATCTTAGTGGCCAACAAGGAGATTGAGACAGTGGTGCAGAACTCAGGGACTTTGGAAGTGGTTCTACCATTCTTAACAAGCCACACCCCAAGTCAGTTTGCTCGCATGGAATTATCTCACCAGCAGGGTCGCTCCAAGGACTGGCTGAAACGTCTTGTGGGTCTTCTATCCAGTAAGAGGGAAGAAGCCCAGGCTTTGGCTGCATTCCACTTTGCTATGGAGGCTGGAATTAAAATGGAGCAGGGTAAAAAAGATGTAAGTCTACTTGTAATTTGTAAATTCAATTACAGCATGCATTAATTTCTTTTATCAACTTAAAATGTTAGTCTACTGAAATTTGTAACTTCCATTTAATATGTGTTAACTTTTTAGATAAATAAACTTATTATATATATGATATTAGTCAACTGAAATTTATAAATTCCATTGTATATTAATTTCTTTTAATTTGAACCTTTTTTCCATATTGACCTTAATTAACTGCAATTGGATGTACACTGTACATGCACTTTATGAATTTGATCCTTGTATAAATTCATTGAATTTTTAAACTGTCTGGTACATATGTGAAAAATTGTTTTTTGAAAATTTTCATGCTTTTGTAGGTATTCTATGAAATTGGAGCCATTGAACCATTGAAATGTTTGGCAAGTAGTCCCAACCCCACTACCTCAAAACTGGCATCAGAGGCCCTGAGGACCATTGGTGAGGAGCTTCCTCATAAGTTATCACAGCAGGTGCCCATTTGGAATGTCGAGGATGTAGTCTTCTGGGTCAATAGAGTAAGTTAATGGAGGATGTGTTTGTTACATGTGTAGATAGAAACTTTTTTTTTATAAAATGATGTTATACGTACAGTAGTATATAAATACTAATTTTGCTGTGTGTTTTTGTATATATGTACTTGTGACAAGAACAGAAGCATGATGATTTATTAGGTCACTTGGGACGAATGCTTAAGTGAGCTTTTCTGATCAAAATTTGCATGCTGTCTGTTGTTGTTATCTGATGTGTTTGTCAAGGCAAGTGACATTGTACATTTTTATATTTTTCTTGTAGACTGGCTATGATGAGTATACAGACCGTTTTGCCAGATGTAAGGTAGATGGAGACCTACTGCTGACATTGACTGAAGCAGATCTTGCCTGTAGCTTAGGGATGGATTGCAGAATCACTCAGAAGAGGTTTGGATATGATTTTGATACTGATCAGAAGGGAATGCCTTTCATGTAAATTCAAAGCATTTATCAGATTCCATCATAGGCTGATGCTGGAATGAAATTTTCCTCAAACAGCTTTTGTTTATTGAATATTTTTCCAACAGGTTTCTGAGGGATGTCAAAGATTTGAAAATTAAAGCAGACTACACATCATGTGACCCAACAGGGCTCAGTGATTGGCTGCAAGAACTTGGTTCTGAGTATAGGCAGTATACTTACACCCTTGTAAATAATGACATTGATAAGAACTACCTGATGCAAATGACTGATGAGGACCTCAAGGACTGTGGCATTACTAACAGCATCCACAGAAAAAAGATTTCTCAAAAAATTGCAGGTACTCATTTATGTATCTTAATTTTATTTGTTTCAGCTTGTAAATCACCACATATTTCAAAACAACAAAATAGTACTGCATGTCAAAGCTTAACTATTTTCCCATTTATATATATTGATTTTAAAATGATTATGTAATGCGACATGAGAGATATGAGATTTATTAATTTTTATTGTTGATTAAATTACAGGTACATTTTACATGTGACTTTTTTGATATCTTATGTGTATCTAATTGCTGCATGTATTTAATTTTTTTAATTTAGTTTTCCTCACATGGTGAATTTGAGTTTTGTTTCATTTGCTTAAATTAATTTTATCTAGGGCCTAACTGCAAACATCTCTTTGAAGCTGAGGTATTAAAAGTGTCTTTAAAAATCTGGTGCTAGTGGGTGAAGGATTTGTTATAAGTAAAGGAAAGGCAATCAAATCTAGAGGATAGACAAAGAATATCTGTTTTGTGATTCTCAAACTTTTCATAGAGCCAGGTTTTCTGATAGAGGCTTTGGTAAATGATGACAAATTCCTGAAAATTCATCCTGAAGCAAAACTGATATAAAGTTTTAAAATAAAAATCATGATTTATTTAGTCTTCAAAGAGCAATGTACCAGTAGATATTTGTCGTGGATTTGGTTGCCTTTTGTTGAACTTGATAACACTGTAACGGACGGTGTAGTTTTTTTTTCTCTTTTTTTCCTATGCTTTCTCACAGAAGATTCCTTGTACAATATCCAACCTAAAACACAAGGTAACTCGGTGAATGCTGAATGTTTTCCCTCAAATCACCTCACCAGGAATAGAGCAATGATTTATAGATTAAATGAATTCGTTTTTGTTTTATCTCCCTTAATGTCCAGGGAATGCTTTATTGGGCTTGACCTACTTTAGGATACTTTTCAGATTTACATTAATAGGCTTTTTGAATTTTATGAATGACTTTTTTTATTTTTGGTTGTCAGACAATTATTTTCATTTATCTGATAATTTCAGAATATTTAATTATCTGTGTTGTGTGAACATGCAGATTGAATATGCTCTTTTTTTTTAAATTTGTCTAAACAATTTTATTTTTAGAATGTACTAAAGATTTACTTTCTGTCAACAATCTATTAATGAATATCCTTGATGAATGCATTTCTGGAAGAAAAAATGTTGATATTCAATTAGATTATTGTAGCATGCACAATGAACTTAATATTGATATGAGGTCAAAAAAGGGGGAAAGGGGGGGGGTGATGAGCATTTTCTCCCTTTCCTGTACATACCCAATGCTCTGAATACCCAAAGTGCACTTGATACCTGGTGATTTAGATTGTACATTGTGTCAGGATTTTGTTGTGTTTGTTTTTGTCTTCTTCTGCACTGTAATCCCAACTTATTATCCTAGAAAAATACTTCAGGTTATTTAAATTAGTTACATGTATTAAAGTCTATATAATATGTTTATATATATAATCCAGTACTGTAGATTCCTTATTTTTTGCAAGTACTTATTTTCTTGAAATAGTTCTTTAACGTCAAATCGCGAGAACAATAATTCGCGAGTGGACGGTTGATCAAGAGATTTTACATTGATTTCAGTATCATAAAAATAAAAGCGAGTAATTTTATTTTGCAAGTGGTGCTTTTGTCATAATTATGCAATAATTAATTTCTTGCATATATTTAGGAATCTACAGTATATGAATATACATGTATGCACTCTCTGAGTGCAGATATGACCAACATTACTCATACATACACATATTCCTCTTACAGATATTGTATTTAATGAATACATGTAGTTCATTCAAAAATTAAATCAAATTTTGTATAATTTATTATTATTTTTAAATCAACTAAAAGTATTACTCCATACTATACATATTACATTTAGTGATTTTTTTGTACCACTAGAGGTATATACGTACATTTATAATACACAATTATTGCAGTTTTTGAGGTCAATATTTAGCTACCTAAGGAGTATAGAATTCAGAATATTGTACTTCAAGGGTTGCTCAGTCATTGTTTTGACTGAAAAATCAGCAATAATTGTTTTATTATATTATGATTCAAATGTTAAATGATGCAAAGTTTTTTTACCAAATCTATCTTGCCTTCTTTCTTGAAAGTCCTAGCTAGTCAACTCTGAAAGAGGAGTGGGATTAAAATATTAAACATAACCAGTTGTATTGATTTGGAATTTCCTGATCTATTTTTGGTCTGATGTAGAAAAAAAATAAATGTTTATATATTTACCTGGATGTTGGGCACAGTTCTTAATCTATTATTTTTGTTCTAGTTTACTAGAAAAAAAATTCCATGTTATAAGCTCAATTGGAAGGTTTTGTGCAGGTGAACATAGCTTAGTATGACTTCTTCAACTTTCAGAGGGCTAGGAATTATTCAGTCATATAATAAATAATTCTTATTTAGAATGTATTCATATGCATATATGTATTTTTAATAGGATATTCTATATTAAGATAATACAAATGAATAAAAAAATAATTGAGGTACATTGTACTGTTATGTGACAGTTCAGAATGTACCTGTGGGTAAAAAATTGTAAAATGTTGGGGAGGAGCAAACACTTCTGCATGTAATTGATTTATTGCTCACAGAACCTTTGATACTAAATTCAATAATGTTAATACATGTGCATTTTTTTTCTAATGTTTATTTTATCTTTAACATAAATTATTTGTGATACAAATTGAAGTAACATTTACAAATATATTTTTTTGCTTAGTTATTATGTTTGCTTTACTGTTTTTTGAATTTTAGTCACGAGAAGTACAGAAAGCAGTATGGAGAGTGTGGACGCTATGGATGGATCAACAAACACAATCTCCAGACCCATCGATGTCTTCATCAGTTACCGAAGGGTCAACGGGTCACAGCTCGCCAGGTAATGTGGGACATTTGTCATCACAAAGTATGAAAGTGGGCTGTCTGATAAATAGTTCTGTGGCAGCCTAGGGCAAAAAAGTAAAAATTATGAATTTTTCAATTAGTCCAGTACAATATTTATTCAGTAACTTTTTGTAAGTGAGATGTGCCAAAAAAAAAAAAATATGGGAGGTGAATTTATATACATCAGTAATATGGAGTTGAGCAATTTAATTTACTAAAGCTATATTTATTAATATTCAAGTAAATGTACTTTCTTTCATTAGAAAAATACATTGGTAAGTGATGTACCTCAGGGATATAGAGGATATGAGGCACCCATAGTCTTTTCAGATTTAAGAAAGTGACAAGCCAGGGTGACTACTTTGTAACCATGTGATGAATGATGGGATGCATAACCATAATTTTTTTTTACATAGTCTTGAGTTTGCTCTTTTCCAGTTTACTAAAGGTTCACCTCCAGCTGAGAGGATTCTCTGTATTTCTGGACATTGAGAAGCTGAAGGCAGGAAAGTTTGATGAAAATCTCCTTAACAGTGTTAGGCTGGCCAAAAACTTCATTCTAGTTCTGACCCCTAATGCGTTAGATAGATGTATGGAGGATGATGAACAAAATGACTGGGTACACAAGGTAAATTTAGCTGAAGATGTTTATCATTGTAGTCAAAATACAGAAAATTTAGTACATAAATAAGTATTCAACTTCAACTTTTTTTGTTTTCACGAAGTTTATATTTTGCAATTTTTTTAACCTCTTTTTTTGTCACACAGAACTATTTATTCACTCACCAATGATCTTTACCTGTATACAATTTTAAGGAAATTAAATCATACTGGTATTTATCAAATATCATAATTGCAAATTAGAAACTTTTTAAAAATTCATCTCTATATTACCGGTATAAGCACACATGTACTTTTGGGCAATAGTGGAAAAAAATCCTTTAAGCCAGTTAATTGTATTTGTTTAGGAGATTGTAGCAGCCATGGAAAATGGCTGCAACATTATTCCCCTGTTGGATAATTTTCACTGGCCTCCATCTGAGAAGCTCCCACAGGACATGAGACAGATAACATTCTTCAATGGAATAAGGCAAGTTTCTTTCCTGAACTTTGTAATTTTTCATTTGTATGATGCAACACAATGTTGAATTTTTTGCAACATTTTTTATCTCTTCTGCGCCAAAGGCTCAAAGAGCTAATGCTATGGCCATTTGTGTGGTGTGCGTAAACTTTTTAGAATATGGACCATAACTCAAGAACCCCTTGGCCAATTATTGTCAAATTTGTCACAGGGTATCCTTGGCCCAAGGGCTCCCTTTTATACTAAAACTGGGGTTGTGACCCTTTAACAAGGGGAGATAATTAGGAAAATAGAAACAAAAGTACTGGTTGCTTAAAAATCTTCTTCTCAAGAACCACTGGGCAGATTATCACCAAACTTACACAAAAGGATGAGGATATGTTGTAGATTAAAATTTGCACGGGGATTTACCCTGGGGCAAAGGGCGTGGTCTCAAGGTCACTTCAAAGTTGACCAAAAATTACATTTTATTAAAATGTTGATATTTTGCTTACTATAAGGACTAGGATCATCAAATCTTGTCAGTTGGTGCATCTAAGGACCTCATATCATGTTGACTCAAAAGTAGGTCACAGTGACCTACTTTTTAAATTTTGCGGCCATTCTTTTTCAAAATGATTTAGAGGCATATTTTGAACAATTTAAGGCCTATGATCATCAAACTTTGTCAGTTGATGCATCTTGGGTCCTCAAAGTACGTCAACTAAAAAGTAGGTCACCTTGACCTACTTTTTGAATTTTATGGCTAATCTTTTTTAAAACAATTAAGGTCAATAATTCGAATACGGGGAGGCTTAGAATCATTAAATCTTGTAAGATGATGCATCTTGGGGCCATAAAACATAGTTATTAAAAAGTAGGTCACAGTGACCTACTTTTTGAACTTTGCAGGCATTCGATTTCAAAGCGTTTTAGAGGCATAATTTGGACATTTTAAGTCCTATAATCATAAAACTTTGTAAGTTGATGCATCTTGGGTCCTCAAAAAAGGTCAACTGGAAAGTAGGTCACCGTGACCTACTTTTCAATCTATATGACTATAATTAAATATTTCAGGTACTAATTGGCTTAGAATCATCAAACTTTGTCAGTTGATGCATCATGGGTCTTCGGAGTAGGTCGACTAAAAAGTAGGTCACAGTGACCTACTTTTGAAAATTTATGGCGTTAATTAAATATTTCGGGTACTAATTGGCTTAGAATCATCAAACTTTGTCAGTTGATGCATCTTGGGTCTTCGGAGTAGGTCGACTAAAAAGTAGGTCACAGTGACCTACTTTTGAAAATTTATGGCGATAATTGATTATTTCGGGTGCTAATTGACTTAGAATCATCAAACTTTGTCAGTTGATGCGTCATGGGTCTTCGGAGTAGGTCAACTAAAAAGTAGGTCACCGTGACCTACTTTCGGAAAATTTATGGCTTTAATAAAATATTTCGGGTACTAATTGGCTTAGAATCATAAAACTTTGTCAGTTTAGGCGTCATGGGTCCTCGGAGTACAACAACTGAAAAGTAGGTCACGGTGACCTACTTTTGAAAATTTATGGCTTTAATCAAATATTTCAGGTACTAATTGGCTTAGAATCATTAAACTTTGTCAGTTGATGCATCTTGGGTCCTTGGAGTAAAACAATTGAAAAGTAGGTCACTTTGACCTACTTATAAAATTTTATGATTATAATTTTAAAAAATATTTTAGGTATTAATTGGCTTAGAATCATCAAACTTAGTTGATGGGTCCTTAGAGAATGACAAGTGATAAGTAGGTCACCATGACCAACACTCAGGTACTAATTGGCTTAGAATCATCTTGGGTTCTCAGAGTGTGAATTGGAATTTCAAGGGTTTATGTAAATATACAGGATACTTCGAGGCTTCAAATAGAAGTGATAGGTTGTACAGTTTATCAGAAGAGCGATTCAAGGCCCATGGGCCTCTTGTTTAGTCTTGGTATGGAAAAAATTTGTTTGCCTTGCATATCTTATTTAAATGATGCAACTAGCAACAAATGAATTTTTGCAACATTTTTCTAGCCTTGGTGTGGAGAAATTTTGTTTACTGTGCATATCTTAAGATAATTATGTATTGAAATTCCAGATTTTGATGTTGAAAGCTGGTTATACAACCGTTTTTGACAATTTTTTGTAAATTAATATACTGGATTACAGAAAGGTGACAGTGATAAAACTTTTTTCGTAGATGGATCCATGACTACCAGGATGCGTGTGTAGACAAACTGGAGAAATTTCTTCGTGGGGAAATAAATATGACACACAAACGGGCTGCACTCTTCCAGATGGGCTCCTCCTCTGAGGGTGTGGTAGATGGAGGAAAATACAGCTCCAGTGAAGAAAGTAGTCCCAGCATTGATGTGTCACCCAATCGGGATGTCTCTTACAGCAGTTGATGGGTCGCAATTAAACAATTATACACCTCTCGATGCATGATTTTTTTGTCTACAAGAACTTCTGCAAATGAGCATAAATTGAATTGTTAAAGTACAATTTATGTAAATGGCAATTGGAAGTTCTACTTTTCATTTTTTTTTTTCACAGTTTAAATACAAAATAACATGTAAATGCCAAAAGTTTACTTTATCAACAAGTAGAGGAAATTTTTAGGGTGCTTTCTTTAAATCATGTATGCCTCTAGAGTATGATGATTTCAACTGATTAAAATTCATTCAAAATTAGATGTCTTTACATTTACAGTGGAGCCTTGTTAATCAGGATGCCAATAATCCAGATGATTCACCTTCTGGACGAAATTTGTGAGAAACAATTTATGTTTAGATATACCAAGGATGTTTCATTACTTTGGTCTTTAATCCGGATGATTTATTCTGGAACACAAGCGTCCAGATTAACTAGGCTTGACTGTATTGATTTAAAAAAAAACAGTTTTTTTATATTTACAGTGTATAATACATATGAATAGACAATCCATTCAATTTTTATGTCCCATCATAAAATGGCCGAGGGCATATGGTAATACCCTGTTCCGACATTCAGTCATTCTGTCATCATTGACTTTCCATTCATTATCTCGGCAACAGTTGTACGCATTCAACTCAAATTTGACAAGAATATGACATAGGAATAGGCAGGTCAAGTTCGAATTTCATTGGTCCGATGATTTTTGACAGTTAATCCTTCTTGAACTTTGAAAAAAATAAATTTTCAGTTTCGGCTCTCTTACTTTTGTAGGGATGTATGTATAAGGTTGAAATTACATATGCAGGTATTTTACCAGAAAATGTACAGGTCAAGTTCGAATTTGGTAATGGTCCGATGACTTTTGACAGAGTTATCCCTCTTGACTTAGAAAAATTAAGAAATTTTCAGTTTCCACTCTCTTACTCTTGTAGGGATCTATGATAAGGTTTGAATTGCATATGCAGATACTTTAACAAATTTAAAACTAAATATGGTATTTGAAATTTTGGCTGCCTGTGGGGGCATTCGTGGATTTACGACACATCTAGTTCTTTTCTTAAATCTCTTTATATATGTACACCTTGAGACATGGTATGGCACTGTATGTCTGTCATTCCATCTGTCTGTTCAGCAATCTATGAACTTCAGTTTTCCTAAGTTAGTCATGCTTTGAGGTAGGCTCATGCTCTCTCTCTCTCTCTCTTTCGATTAATCAGAATATTTGATACTTGATGTCATATTGATTTGTAGAGTAGGTTTAAGATTTATAAATTCTGCCCAATTCTTACCTAGTCATAGCCTTGGAATCAAATTTACTATATATTTATGAGTATTGCAAAGGGAGGTAAATCCGAGATAATGCTTACAGGTTATGGAAAAAACTTGGTGTTCATTGTTTGGGGGAAAATCAGTTCAACAAGTTGATCTGCATGGATAATTTAAATTAAGTCATTTTTAATAAATTTTGAAGTCTTTTAGATCATTGAAGACATACTTTTTTGATTTTAATTTAAAGTTATGGCCCTAGAAAACTAGAAATATCTTTGGAAAGGATGTAGGTATGTTAAATGGATGTATATTGAACGCTTGGTGGTATTTTGTTCAGTATATGTATTTCATGAATTTTTGCCCACCTTTTTACCCCATTTTACACTTTGTTTGTTTCATATGCTTATTGATTGTGATATTAATGGCTTAAGGGTTATATACATGTAACAAAATTGAGGTTTGCCGACGATGCATTTGTCATGGATAAGTACCATCTTAAAACTAAGAATTTGAATCTTGTTATCTTTTACACAATATGATATATGTATATGTATAGTTATCCATTTATCTTTTTATTAATCATCCTCATCAGATGTTTTTCCAGGTTTTGAAATCCTTGCTGCACTCTTAAAAAGTATTATGTGAATATTTTCTTTAAAGTCCGTAAATGTATAAAATTTTGAATGTGTTTGGTAAGACACTTATCATTACAATCCATACACAATAAACATATGATTAACAAACATAGATACTTTTTGGTCTAATAACAAAATACGAAACAGGTTTGATGACTTTGAATACTTAAAACTCATTTAGTTTTTCATATCTGAGTGACCCACATAAATTAAAATTTGAAGCTCATGGAAAGAAATGTCTAACACTTAAATTCATGGAATTTTATAACAACATGTGTGATCATATGTGTCATTTTTTGGGGTTTTGTTTTGCACATTCTGTACCCTAGAGGTATGAATGGTAATATTCCAGTCATGACTGTAAAAATAATAATGAATGTTTCATAGTTCTTTGGTATAGAAATGTTGCTTGACCTTGACATCATATAATTTTAATAAATGTAACAAGAAGTGACTTGCACATGATCACTATTTTCATGATTTTGCTGAGCACGATGTCCATTTTGAGCAAGATCAAATGTACATATATTTGTTGATATGCATCTTTAGTGTAAATATTTGTGAATATTAAGGGGGACAAACTTCTACTCACTAAGTGGAATTTTCCTGTAAGATGATTTTCTAACAGAAATTGGAGATTAAAGGGAATTTCAAGCAAATTTACTTTACCATTGCATGGGGCTAAATTGTGGGAGATACATGATATGGGCTAAATTTTGGGAGATATACCATTTTGGGCCAAATTTTGGAAGTTACACAATTTGGGGCAAAATTTTGGAAGATATATTATTGAGGACAAAATTTTGAAAGATATACCATTTTTGGTAAAATTTGAAGATGAAAATGGGAGATATAAATGTGAAGGTGGAAGTACAAGTCCTCTGAAATTTTTGAGTACAAAATCCCAATTTGATTTTTGCATGGTCTTTGTCATGTCATGTAAATCTGTAAGTATGACCCATTCACAATGTGTTTATATGTATGGTTTGTTTCACAATGTGTTCATCTTTATTGTCATTTTGTGTGACATCTGCCAACAGATCCTGTTAAGATCTGGAAATCGGACCAAAATTTTTCCCTCAAACAAGGTAGTCAGATTTGTCAACTGCATAATGATGAATTTTTGAGCAACTTCATAATACAATTGTACATGTAGCTTGAAATCCTACACCCTTAATGTTGTTACATTATTACATTGAATGTAATCACCTGTGTTCTGTTGTTGTTGGTTGAAGCATTATGGGTTGCTGTGATACTGAGAGTCTTAACATGATGTGATATTTATTTATAGCTTTGTAATCATAGTGATTATAAACATTTTTATGAGGCTATGTCATTTTTTGGTTTCTTTCCAAATATATTGAATTTCACTGTAGACCCAGTACATTAATGATAGATGCATATGATTTAGTCACATGACTAACCATTATAAACTGTTTGGAAAAATGCTTTGATTAGTAGATTTTTTATTGCACAAATCAGATTTTTTTTATTTTGGGGGGGGGGGGGGGGGACTAATCTTTTATGTCAGTTGGTGCATGTGTCTTGATTTGTTTGATGGTTATGGTAACTGTCTAACTACAAAATTATGAGAAAAAGATTTCTATTCTTAAATAAAAGACAAGATCACAATTTCATGTTAAGGTAAGATTTAAAGGTGTTTATACTGCTGGAACACTTAACTGTGTTTCCCTAATTTTTTGTTAGAGAGGAGGGTTTGTTCAAAAACAAATGGTTTATCTTTACATGTACAATAGAGGATTAACATATATAAGACATCACAGCTATAGTCACATTTATAGGATTATCTGCTTTTTATTTGTTTTTACAATGTACTTGGTAATTTATCTCATACTTGCATACCAGTCTATTTATTAAAAACTGCATTATCTCAGGAACTAAACTGATTAAGAATAAACAATACAAACAAAAAAAAATAATACATAGATTGCTATTAATATATGTTTTGACTGATTTAGAATAGAAATGACACAATAAATTCCCAAAACACAAAGAAATTGTAAGTATTCTTTGGTGTTCAAATTTAAGACTGGGTGCCATTTTCTGTATAAACCTATACAAATTTTATGACATTATTACAAAATCTTACAAAATTTTTACATTTACTTGGTCAAACATGCATTATTCAAGTTATCTATAAGAACATTGCTGATTTCTGAAAAAAAATGTTTATTTTACATTGTATTTATCCTCAAGTTAAACAAATTATATATTGATGAAAAAAAAGTGTACGAGTACATGTTTCCTAGTTTTGCTCATTATCTTTTGTTGACTTTATTTATGCAAATGTTTAGCATTTGTTGCATGAAGATTATTGATTGCAGATCTAGAAATCCCTATGAAAATGTTAATTCCACTTCAGTATGTTTATGTATTGTTTTATTGATTTGCTTTTTAGCTTGATTTTTATTTATTTATTCATTTGACTTTTTTTCTTTTGTTGGTGGATATCTTTCTCATAAAAATATAATAATATATTGAACAGTTGTCCAGGTATTTATAGTAAAATGTTACAGGTAACTTACAAGATAGATGCTTTTGATAAATTAAAAAAAAAAGTGATTACACAATTAATCAAAGTACTGAATCAAGGTAATGGCTTCCTGTAAAATGTGATTTCTATCCCCAGTAGGCAAAAGTAAAAGCTTAAATTGATGAGAAAACAATGAAAATCTTTGAAAACAAAAAAGGTGAGTTACATAACAAAATTTAAATATAGGTAATTAAAGATTACGAAGCTCACCTCAACAATGTTATCTATAAGTAAGGCAAATTTCACAATAAATTTTTTTGGTTGAAAATTTTGGTAAGTTCCAACATCCAAAGAAATAAGTCTGGAAGTTTTCATCCTTAGATGCACCATCTATGCAAGTTTAATCATAACAGGCCATAAAATTATATAGCTACTCCAAAAAATTGCCCTGGTCTCTCATCTGGAAAATGTAGGTCAGATTCAGAATCCAAAGCAGGTCTGGAAGTGTCCATCCCTAGATATAACATCCATGCTAATTTGGTTAAAATATGGCTAAAATTCACTCAAGTGGAAAATCTAGGTCGGATCCAGCATCCAAAGCAGGTTGGTTAGTGTACATCCCTAGATGCATCACACATGAAAGATTGGTCCAGGTAGGGCTTATAGTTACTTGGGAATGGACCTGCTCCAAACATTGCCAAAACCTTAACCTGGTTGCTCATGTGAAAAATCTAGCTCAGATCCAGCATCCGAAGCGTGTGCATCCCTGGATGCATCATCCATGCAAATTTGGTCAAGGTAGGGCTCATGGTTACCTGGGAACAGATCTGCTCAAAAAAATTTAACCTGGTCATTCATCTGGAAAATCTAGGTCAGATTCAGCATCCGAAGCAAGTGTGGTAGTGTCCATCCCTAGATGCATCATCCATGCAAGTTTGGTCCAGGTATGGCTTATAGTTATTTGGGTATGGACCTGCTCCAAAAACTTTAACCTGGTTGCTCATCTGGATAATCTAGGTCAGATCCAGCATTCGAACCTAGTGTCCATCCCTGGATGCATCATCCATGCAAGTTAAATTTGGTCCAGGTAGGGCTTATAGTTACTTGGAAGTGGACCTGCTCCAAAAACTTTAACCGGGACGCCGACGCCGGGAGTATAGCATAAGCTCATCTCGACTTCGTCGAAGTGAGCTAAAAATACATTTTGAAACTTATATGATAGGTAAACTGACTAGTTACTTTTGTACAAACACGAATTAAGGAATCTTGGCATTAAAGTAAACGTATGTGTAAAGAAACCTCAAATATCTTAATATATCTTTGAAATTCTAGGAGACATTTATCACTGAAGGAGCTAGCACTTAATATATACCACTCTCTCCTTGTATGTTATAAATATGCCAAAAGCATGCGCATTTAGACATTTTTAAAACTAAATTGATCATATGAAGCATTACTGAAACAAAATACATGTACATGAACCCTCAGGTCTGTAGCGCATTTCGGAAAAAGGATGGACGACCAGAAAGAGTAATATCCAACTGTAGATGATCCCTGAGCACCTTAAGCGAATTCTTCTTTAGATACTGATCTGGGCTTTTCCCTACTCCTACAAGTAACTAACGTCCCTACGCTCCTACCTCTCTAGCATGCTGGAGTAGGCTTTTCCTCCAAAAAAGTCTACTCGTGTGAAGAAATGAAAATTTAGCTGTATTTTAAGTGAGATCCATTCAGGTCCAGGAATCATGCATTATATAAATATTTGATCACAACGATCTTAAGTACATTTAGCACTTGTGTATTTAACATTTAGTTTAGTGAGGCACACCTGTTTCATAATTAAACACCATTATTATGAATCTAAGAAAAATTGATTTCCTGCATCCGGCAAGTATTAAAGTACCAGGAATGACATATGATTTATGTTTTAATAAAACAAGTGATTTCAAAATCGCTTTCTTGTAGATCTAAGCTATATCAATACTCGCGTTTAAATACATATTTTCACTTGTACTTCAATTTAAACATCCACAAATCAAAATAAATCATTAAAATACAGAACTAAAAATCAGTTTTTAGTACTTTTTTCTATTTTCTGCTTAATTATTGAAATATTTTGCGCTTGCAAAAATTACATTAACAGACTGATTTCAAATCACCTCAAATCCATGTACATCATCCCTCGTTCAAACATTATATTGAAGGGGCCTGGACACAGATTTGAAGTTCATATTTTCTCAAATGTTCTGTATAATATCATGACTTTATGTTGCTATAGCGTTTCACACGGAAATAAATTTTTTTTAAAACTTATCTTAGCCTATCTGGAAATTATTGAAACTACGAATCTCGGGACGCGTTTGATTGGCACATCCTTGCACTTTCACAAAGTAAACTTTATCCTTTAAATACTTAAGAAAAGTAGAAATTTTGTTGTGTAATGAAAAATATTAAAATCATAATCCAGAAAATTCAGAGTAGAAATGTGAGAAAGCAACTGTTAGGTCATTTTTCACAATGATCCATTTTTTCCGCTCAGTTTTCTATTACATATAATAAAATCGCGGATTTTATTACAGGCCTATGGTTATGTCTGGGAGAAAATCCTATCCGTTCTGCTTTTTTATTAGCTCACCTGAGCTGAAAGTTCAATCACGTTTTGTGTCCGTCCGTCTATAAACTTTTCACATTTTTGACTTCTGCAGAACCACTGGGCAAATTTCAACCAAACTTGCTACAAAGCACCCTTGGGTGAAGGGGATTCAAATTTGTTCAAATAAAGTCCACGCTCTCATTCAACGGGATATAATGCAAAAATAGTGAACATTTGGTGGCATGATTTAAAAATCTTCTTAAGAACCAAAGGGCTAAAATAATTGAAACTGATAGGAAACTTTCTTTACATATAGTGTTTGTTTGTTTGTGTATTGTTTAACGTCCCTCTCGAAAATTTTTCACTCATATGGAGAGGCCACCACTTGCCGGTGGATAGCTGCAAATTTTGACCTATACTCGGCACTCAGGGCCATTAGGCAGTGAGGGATCTTTTTCGTGCCAGCATCTACTGTGATACGGGACTTCGGTTCATACGGTCTCATCCGAAGGACCGGTCTCCACGTCCCACAGTGGGATTCGAACCCGCGACGTCAGAATCAATTCCTTACTCTGCGACTCTAGAGCAGCCATGATTAGTCATACTGATAAGGAAGCATCCTCAGGTAGTTTAGATTCAAATTTGTTCAAATCATGACCCCCGGGGGTAAGGTGGGGTCACAATAGGGGATCAAAGTTTTACTTAGGAAAATGTAGAAAAAAAACTAAAAACCTTCTTTTCAAGAACAGCAAAGCCTTGTTTAGTCATATTGATATGGGAGCATTCTCAGGTAGTGTAGATTCAAGTTTGTTCGAATGATGACCCCCGTGGGTAGGGTGGGGCCACAATGGAGGATCAAAATTTTACATAGAAATATAAAGGAGAAAATCTTTAAAAATCTTCTTCTCAAGAACAGCAAAGCCTTGTTTAATCATATTGATATGGAAGCATTCTCAGGTAGTGTAGATTTCTGTTTGTTCAAATGATGACCTCTTGGATAAGGGTGGGGCCACAATGGGAGATCAACGTTTTACAGGAATAAATAGGAAAAAAATCTTCTTCTCAAGAACAGAAAAGTCATGTTTAGTCATGTTGATATGGAAGCATCCCCAGGTAGTGTTGATTTAAGTTTGTTCAAATGAAGACCCCCGGGGGTAGGGTGTGGTCTCAATGGGAGATCAAATTTTTACAAAGGAATATATAAAGGAGAAAATCTTTAAAAATCTTCTGCTCAAGAACAGCAAAGCAATTTGTTATATTGATATGGAAACATCCTCAGGTAGTTTAAATTTGAAGCCCCCCCCCCCCCCATGTAAACTTTTCAATACTGAACTGATTTGTGCTTTTTCCTAGCCAAAGTGCTCAGGTGAACGATGTGGCCCTTGGGCCTCTTGTTACTTATTTAACACAATCATGAATTTATTATTTGTGTAATTTAAGCCCCTGTGGATTATATGTATTAAAGATACATGTATTTTACCTTTCATAATAATAAGAGATATCTTGTGACACAAGATTGTAAGGCTTATTGCCTTGGATTGGTTGAAACAATTATTAATGGTAAGAAATTAAATATTTCTTGGGTAAGGTGATGTTTTAGAACGTGTTCATCATTCAGGGAAGTTGCAATGGTTTCATTTACTCGGCTTCTTTAGAGCATACAGAATTAAACCGTAGAGGATTTCTAACCGTTTGTTTCTCAAGATAATCTTTAAAAACTTTACCTTCTGACAAAAATACAATTTTCTATATATATATATATATATATATATATAATCATTATGTTGTATTGTTAAAGAAGTAAAAAACTTGACTTTGCTTAGCTGCAGAATTGTATCTCTATATAAAGAGATATAATAATTCGGACAGACGTACATGTACCATATATATTCATCATCCTCTCCTGAGTTTATACGCATTTATAGGCGCTTGGTTTTAGGATGGTGTATTTTGTGTATAATGTGTTTTTCTATGTGTATCTGAATATACTCAATAAAATAAATTTTAAAAATCGTTGAAATTGGCACGTTTTAAAAAAAATTATATTACTGTATATAAAAAGCCTTAAAATATCATATTACTGTATATAAAAGACAAGTCCTTTTGGTTTATGCGTGGTCGTGGGAATCAGCGTGGGGACTCAAGACTCCTGATGTTGTGAGGATGACCATTCAGAAGAATATCTGTCCAAATTATCTTTCCTAGATCTACAGTACATATGTATAGAGAGGTAAGTACCTCATTCCTTGAAGTCCCCTAGGCCTCTATCGAATCAAAATGATGTGATCTCCTAATAGTCAAATTGCATATGTGAATCCGTTCAAGCTGCCATTGGTTACGTTTATAATGTGTTCAGATTTTTTTAAATAGAAATAGAAGGAAGAGCAAAGTTGACATTCCTCTGGGGAGCCCTCACTAGCGGACTCAATAAAATGGGTATCCAATAACATAGGAGGCTTTTCATGCACAGGGACTCGCGGTTTAAGAATGGTGTATTCAATGTATTGTGTTCTTTTATGTCTTAATCTGAAAAATACAGAAAACTGCTGGTATTAGCAGTTTTTGAAAGTAAGTCTATATACATTAAAAAAAATTAATGTACATAGATTTATAAAATATGCGTACGTGGTTTAATTAAAGTAAACATGTCAGACAGAAAAAAAATACCCGGATGCCCCTTCCCCCCTTCCCCGTACATGCTTTCATGCACAACGGATGACCTGCTTCAATCCACCCAACCAGACTACAATGTGATTTAAAACTAGGAAGTATCGCTCTTCCTGTGGCTCTAAAAAGACAGAATTACCCACCATGCAGTATCTTAATTGGGGAAACATTTTTTTTATATATAAACACACTTCTTAATTGACGTTTAGCAAACGATAACTTGAACAGGAAGTAATACGATATCGTTAGTGCCGGGATAATCATTTCATTACGGAAAGTACATGAATAAAAGACAACAGAATTCTAGTGAAGAATTGATTTTATCTTTTTTTATGGTAACTTAGCTTTCACAGACATTCAATATAATATAAGAGTCTCTAAGCAGTGCAGGTAAGTTTATTCCTTTTTCTTATGAAATATCTCGGGTGAAATTAAAGGGAATACAATGTTGGAACGAACTTCAGAGGTAGAGAAAATTGAAAATATGAGGAAATAAAGAGTGTGCATACATGTTCATGTTCCTTAAAATGGTTTATTTCAATAAGATGTAGAAGGAAAAAATCCAGGAAATCCATTTTCTATAGCCAGTTAATGCATAAAAATGTTTTGCTTTAAGAACCCACTATACACTGCATGCTAGAGAGTTCTGATTCTGTGGTATTTTTCTGTAGTTAGAGTGATCTGCCCTTAGATCTAAATTACAGCATATTACTCAATTTGTAATCAATTCAAGCATTCTAAGCATTTTAAAAGCCAAAATAAATTAATTGAACACTTTATTTATAAAAAATAATTTTCTCTGACAGTGTCCAAAAAACATTTTGCACTGGTGGGTCCTTAAGCTTTGCGTGAAGTTTCCTTAACGTTTTTTTTGGGAGGATCGATAAGTCTGTCCGTTGTGCCGATAAGAAAAATTAGGTTCAGTTTATAAGACAAGGAACAAAGCTAAAAAGTAAAATAAAAAAAAACAGGATAAAAAATTGTTTAGAAGTATTTACTTGTATCTGTAACACTCTCTTGCCATTGATTTTCATTATTCACTTGTATTTGCTCTAAGAATTTTTGCTATATCATCGCTTTCATTGCCGGACATACACGTAATATGTAAAATATTGAACACATATTAGTAACCCCCATATAATATTGTTGGTTATATGCAGATACCAGATGGGGTGTGGTCATAATGACACGAGAGAGCGTAGCTCCACGAGTTGTCATTTTGACCGCGTCCATGCATTGTGTATCTTCACATTATCAACAATATTATATGGGGTGAGTGACTTGTACCAAGGTTTACTAAAATTGATAAAATCTTATTTTTGTAATATAAACGACTGACTTATGTCATTGAAATATTTTGATTTAACAGTATTTTTGAAGCTTATTTAAAAACTGTCAAACTTAATAATCAAACTTTTTTTCAACATAATTTCAATTTTTTTTACAATAAATAATGTACAGAAATTGTGCACTTAGAATAGATGCAATACAAAACTATCTTTTTTATTTTCCAGTTTTCTTTGCTTTGTTATAAATACATGTATAGCGATATTGGAATCATTTCAGAGATACCAACGACGTCATTACCCGACATTATTCTCAATAAATAAGTTGTGTCTTCAACGATGAACAAGCTATGAGGAGAGCTTAATTTAAAAGAATGAAAATAAAACCAAATTGTTTTTTCTGCAGACTAATATTCCATAAATAACACCAAATATTGTATATTGGAAATTTAAGCGTTTTCCAATAGAGTAACCTGTATATAGGAAAATCATCCTCTGGTATCTTACACAAATGCCTGGTAATATATACCCTTATTTTTGTGACGACGCTTTGTAAAGTAGCAATATTTCAATCAAAATTCGTGTCATATATATATATATACGTATTACGGATTAACGTACTTGTCGTCTGTCCTCAATATGTAAACACATCCATGTGTATCTGTAAGACTCCAAAGCCCGATGGTCGCACCAAAGTCCGATGGTTCTTCGCCAATCCCCGCGAGGGTTTGGTGTCGGTATGGACGCTAAAAGTCTGATGGTCTCGCCGAAGTCCGATGGCTCGTCTGCTATGAGACGCGATGCACTATTTAAAGTGCAATGGTCTGAAACGCCAAAGTCCGATGGTGCAGAGAAAACAATCAACGTTTATGACGTCAAAATGATCCGACATCAATCCTACACTTGTCTGTAATCTAAACGCCAATATTTTAGGATTAGTCCTCGCATACAAATTTGACTGATTTTGCTTATTGCTTGCACCCACCTGACATATTTAAGGGTTAGTCCTCGCGCACCACTCGACTGATATATAGTTAAGAAACCATCCTAACAGACCTTTTTCAATTTATTCTTTTCAGATATGAAGTTATACCAGGAAATTTTGTATTCCTTATTCGTAGTCCCATTCACAGCTGGAAATGGAATGAGAACAAATGAAGGCCTTCGCATCCACGACGGAAGTATCTCCACCCTCGCCATTGCTGTGTACCTCATCGGTATAGCGTTTGTGACAATCTTCGTTTCTTCCACGCCTTTGCACGTAGATCCCGATAACTTTATTCGTTTCGTCCTGATAACAGTAGTTCTCATTGGTGTTGGTGCCCTGGTATTTCTCTGGGTGAAGTTTAGAAGACAGATGCGTGAAAATGAGATAATAGTTAACTATACAACCAATACCAAACCAACAGGACTGAGGCTTAAATTTCTGTGGCTGTTCTGCTTGGGATTGATAGTTCGAGCAGCGCTCAGTATGGCTAGGAGATTTCACAATATAAGCACGTCCTACCATTTGGCGAGGTCCTACGTCAGTATTATATGGAATATTTTGCTTTTCGTCTTTGCTTGTCTACAGACGGCGTTCATAAGTTACTTCCGAAATACAGAAATCGTAGGGTCCCTTCTTGTCCACTATGGGATGATCTTTATCGTTGTCGCAAATTTGTCCGTCTGGTTTGACTCAATTTTGGCACAGGAAAGACATTTTTTCCACCTTAACTTTAATGAAACAAAAATCAATAACTTTGGAGTGGAATCTTTCAACTGCACTAATGAATCTTCTATCGTCTGCTTCGCAGAGAATGCATTTCCGTACGTCTTGCCTATAGTGGCCGAATTCTGCTTAGTTTCCATCGGATTTCTCTTTCAAATTTGGTCCTCAGCAAAAAGAACAATGATTAAAAATTTCCTCATGACCTCTTCTGATATACAGGGGGAAAGCACTTCTCTGCTGAATAGTGAATACGTCGAAATAGACCAACAATCATCCTACAATTATGGAGCGCGCAGAAAGTCAGCACTTTTGTACCTTAGTGCTGCTGTTGGGGCCGTTTTTGTCGTTGTCCTTCTTATTATCGTCCTGGCCATCCTGACTGAGAAAAAAGAGGAAGAGTTACGCAGTTTGTACATATCTCTTGAAATATACCGTCTTATGTACGCCATTATCATGATTGGCCTTGTGTTCCTCGGTTTTGGCCTTTTATATGGTCAGTGCGTACCCACTAGTAACCCACGTCACATTTCTGGAAGTGAGTACATTCTGCTGTTTAGTTCCTTGGGAATGGTGATGTATCTTGTCTTTGGAGTAGTGGCAGGTTTCAATTTCAAATCGCAAGGGTCGTGGAACATTGCTGAAAACATTTTAAGTCTGATTCTTGTATATTTCCAGACTGTTCTAATGCTGCAGTCCTACCGATATCGAAGATACCGAAAACTAGAATGTTTGTCAATCAAGAATGTTTTTATGCTCCTAGCAGTGATGAATCTTGGACTTTGGTTCAATGACAGCTTTCTGCAAAATCGAGTACCTTACATTAATGAGGTTAATTATAAGATGTATAAACAAGAAATATGGGATTTTGTGAACGGAACACTCTTTCCAATCACCGTTTTCTTCCGGTTCCAATGTTCAATGATATTATATGAACTTCATCATCTTTTCCGTACCCATAACTAATTAAATTTGTACATTGACTCAAGAACACATGAAAATACCGTGAGAAGTGGAAAACACAACCAATTTTGCAATTTGCATTAGAAATTCAAAGACACTGTTGAGATATGATCTAGTTGAACTTCGGTATCTCGAACACGGATATCTCAAATACTATGGATATGTCGAAGTGTTTTGAAGTCCCAAATGGTTTTTCTTGAAGTATTTTACCCTTAATATCTCGAACCCTTGGATATCTCGAAGTTTTTTCTCTGTCCCATCGAGTTCGAAATAACGAGTGTTGGCTGTAATTGATATACATGTATAGAAAGTCAGTTTTCAGATAGAAAAAATGTTATGAAATTCAACACTTACATTTATTTTTAAGTAACGCTAAATCTACATTGTAAATACAGAAGCATCAAAATATAAATCATAATGAATTTTCTTTTATTTAGAAAACCCACGAAAAACTCGATCTAGATTGTTGGATTTTTGCCAAACTGCCCAAAGTTTCTCGAATTCCTCTGATTGTCCCATGAACTATGAGTATATTCAAAGCGACCAAGTTCAAATAATACCTACATTGTACCCTGACCCTTGCATATCTAATACTGGAACAGTCTACGCTTACATGTGTATTTCATGACTACGAGGAAAATAGTCAAACTTGTACCAAGACAGCTGGAAAAACATGGGAAACTGTTGCTTTCCAGGCATTCCTCACTATCGAGGGGCAACAATATGATTGTTCCCTGAGTATAGTTATGAAATAAGTGTTTTTTATTTATTAGTCATTACCTAACCTCGTAAATGATTTCTCCAAGTAATAATATAGGCCTAACAATCAATGGATACATTTTTGCCTTGAGATACATCAAAAGCGTTTATCAATTAACAATAGTTATTACTTCATTCATATATCTCAGTGAACTCGAAATAAAAGACAATACAGAGCCTGCAACATACTTTATATTTGGATGTTTTGCTGACTATAGACATATAACGGCCAACGTATAGCTAAACTATGTGATTAAGAGGATGACTTCAGCTTTTCTATCGTCAATTATTGCCCTTAATTATGTAGCAATATTCCCACATCACCTGCATATGGTGTTTATGTCTCCCAACTGAATCAATACGCAAGCACATGATCTGAATACGATTAATTTTTGAATCGAGGCTAGCTACTCTCAAATAAGTTGTCTTTACAAGGATTTCAACAACCCCGGGTAAAGTCAAATTTTCCTACAATCTACGGTCGCTATAAAAGAAAAACTTGTTTGTAAATTCAACCTATTGTTGGGTCGTATTTTGTCTGAAATGTTTCATACCATTTGTTAGGTCACTACTTTTTAGCTAACCTGAGCCAAAGGCTCAAGTGAGCTTTTCTGATCAAAATTTGTCCGTTGTCTGTCGTCGTCGTCGTTGTTGTAAACTTTTCACATTTTCATCTTCTTCTCCAGAACTATTGGGCCAATTTCAACCAAACTTGCCACAAAGTATCCTTGGGTAAAGGGGATTCAAGTTTGTTCAAATGAAGGGCCACGCCTTCTTCCAAGGGGAGATAATTAAGAATTCGTGAAAAATTAATGGCATCATTAAAAAATCTTCTTCTCAAGAACCACTGTGCTTGAAAATATGAAACTTATGTGGAAGCATCCTCAGGTAGTGTAGATTCAAGTTTGTTCAAATCATGACCCCCGGGGGTCGGGTGGGGCCACAATGGGCGATCAAAGTTTTACATAGGAATATATAGGAAAAATCTTTAAAAAATCTTCTTCTCAAGAACAGCAAAGCCATGATTAGTCATATTTATATGGTAGCATCCTCAGATAGTATAGATTCAAGTTTATTCAAATCATGACCCCCGGGGGTCGGGTGGGGCCACAATGGACGATCAAAGTTTTACATCGGAATATATAGGAAAAATCTTTTAAAATCTTCTTTTCAAGAACAGCAAAGCCATGATTGGTCATATTTACTTGGAAGCATCCTCAGATAGTGTAGATTCAAGTTTGTTCAAATCATGACCCCCGGGGGTCGGGTGGGGCCACAATGGGCGATCAAAGTTTTACATAGGAATACATAGGTTAAATCTTTAAAAATCTTCTACTCAAGAACAGCAAAGCCATGATTGGTCATATTTAAATGGAAGCATCCTTAGATAATGTAGATTCAAATTTGTTCAATTTATGACCCCCCCTCCCCCCGAACCACTTTTTTATTCAAACTTTTCAACCTTTCAAGACTGAACTGATTTCTGCTTTTTCCTAGCCATAGTGCTCAGGTGAGCGATGTGGCCCCTGGGCCTCTTGTTATACTTAATTTGACTACGGAATACTCCTTCTACCTAATATATAGCACTCACAGCGGGTCGACAGGGGATGCTTACGCATCCTGGGCACCTGATCCCACTTCTGGTGTTTCCATAGGTCCGTGTTTTTGTCCTGTTTACGATTCGTTTTGTTTGCTGTATTTATAAGATTGATCACTGCGTGTTTATCATCTTTACCTTTTACATTTACAAGTATCTTCTGTTAGAACATCAACAACAACATTTCTTGTAAACTTCATCCGGTCACGGAATCCTAGTGGTAGGGTGTTCAATTCATGATCGGGAGGCCCGGGTTCGATTGTCATCAAACCTAAGACGTAAATTTAAGCAGTGATTGTTCCTTAGCCAAGAAGTGAAAGTCGTGTGCCTTTTGGATGAGACCTTAAAAATCGAGACCCCTTGTCTTGGTAGGCGTTGATACGAAAAATTAAGACATCTCCACTGCATAATGTCCCCGAGTGTCGATTATAGTTTTAAATTTTAGAAACCCTTCACTGGTATATGGTGACATCTCTATAGGAGTGAAAAATTCTCGAATGCGACGTACAACATACAGTCAATCTTGTAAAATTCAAACAAAGTTTACTTAGGCTCTAAATTGAATTTAATTCTCACAACTCATGGTCTTAAATCAGAAAAATTAAATGATGTGATTTTTATTAAGCAACGTCATGATGATTTGAACACTTTAATATCACGCTGACGTCTAAACCATGCAAAAGTTCACTCTATGATACATGTACAAGTTTGACTGTGTTAGAGTATACAAAAAAATTTTAAAAACATGAAACCGTTCAAATTACAATTTATATAGTAGTTTAGGTAATGAATTCCTTATTCTCATTAAAAGCATGCAAAACTACCTAAATGAGATCTAAAATTGCTAAACGATTAATGTTTCCTCCTAATTTTTAGGGGGCGAAAAAAGTTTCCTTTAGAATTGATTAACTGAGAGGAGATTAACCTTCGGAGTGACAGCATGTCATAATGACTCTTCTGTTCCTTCTATTAGGATCTGCTTCTTCGGTATTAAGATCGTGGACACTACTCAGCCATTTATGATAATTATACATTTGTTGCAGCTCTAAGCGTTTACAGTGTTGGCTAAAAGAATTATGGTAGGTTTTAGTAGCACTGTTCTTGGAGCATCGTCGGAAACCCACAGTCGGCCTCGCTTCTCAGAAAGGCGAGACTGGCCGTGGGTTTCCGACTGTGTTCTTGAAGGTATATTATCATAAATGTTTTTATCATTTTCATCAAATATGGCGGAATTTAGTTTAATAATGACATTTGCAAAGTGTTATTGGTTATCTTAGCCTGGATATATATACCAAGGAGCAAAAATCGACTGCTTAAATTTATTGCAGAGATCCACGAGGAAGTAGGAACGTATTTATTACCTGTTTGAATTTCAAAGTTACCAAGGTTTAGTGTAGAAAGAGGTGTATTGCACTGCGTTGTTTGATTGTTGTGAGAAGCTGAAAGAACTTGTCGTGGGCTTAACCAAATAAAGTCTTTATCAGATTACCCTAGACCCCTTGCCACAGTTTGTGCGGCATATATCATTGAGGCACAAACGTCTAATTTACTGAAAATAATAAAACAGTTAAAGGATGACTGCACTTAAAGCATGGGTTTGGGTCTTTTTCGGTTCTCTCTGTTGCTTTTATATCTTAACCTTATTTCACTTTTGTATACTTAGTATTTATGAAAGAATCCTGTCAATATTTAACGATCAGCATCATCATAATAACAGAAATACTACATATATTGATGAATATACTTTATATAATGTGAGAGGTACATAATATATTGTTGTGTTCACTGCATATAATGTTAGATCTGCCGCATATAATGTTAAAAGCACTTCATATAATGATAAAAACACCTCATATAATGATAGATTTACATAATATAACGACATATCTACATCATATAATGAAAGAAGTACTGTATATACTGGAAGTTGCACACGATATACTGTAAAAACTACTTCATATAATTAAAATAGTACCACATATAATGAAGAAAACACTGCATATAATGTTTAATCCTCATATAAGACAGTCCCGGCTTTCCATATGAACATTAGGTATGCATGAGAGATGGAGCTAATATTGTAAGAATGGATCTAAAATTAGACTTGATAAATACTAGTAACAATGACATGTTTGAAAAAAGTGATCACTCTTTCCCATCTTCCTCTGTATTATGTTTGGCACTAATACAGACAGGTTTCAAAACGAAATTAACAATATGGACACGTCCATATAATTGAAGGAGAATTTATATCAATGCCAGATGACTTAACGTGTTCGAACACAAAAACAATGTCCTAGTTAGCACAAAACATGCTGCCTTACAAGTCACGTGACGGAATTTAGTATTCACAAAGTTACATGAGGTAAGAAATCACGTGGTTGATTATAATATTCAATATGTCATAACCCTTGGTTACAACAGAGAGAGAGAGCGAATGTAAGAAGAAGCAGCTGAGCGCATGTTAGCAAACATGACGATGTATGAAGTTATAAAAGTGGGTGTCCTCATTATCGAAACGAGATTCAATAAATTGTGATGACCCTTGCTTTTGAAAACAGATACGAACTTCGTAAATACAAACTTTTATTAAATGTAATTACATAAAGTTGTAGATTGGATGTTGACCATTCTTGCAATTAAAAGGAAAATGCT